AAAACTTAATTTTTCTTACTTGACGTAATTCGTTTAGCTGTAGCACTGTGCCTGTGGCTTGTTGAACACAATTGAAGTCGAAAGACAGCTGTTCACCAAAGCGATGGGGCCGAAAATTTCTGTAGCATGAGGTATTATGATTATGCAAAAAGTCGAGCGCCATACGGGTTTCGTAAAAATAAAATGCGCTCTATCGATTCCACTGTTTGCTTTGATGACAAATAATGGGAATCAATTACGCGGCCGATGTTTCAAAGAGAGGCATGTAGTGAATTCGATAAGCAAAAGCAGCTAGTCTCCAGTTTTCTGGATGAAGAAGATTCGAGTGGTTTCGCGAAAATTGTGGCTGCGTGGTAGCATTTTTGAAGATCCTGCAGTGATGATCTGTGAATTTGGGTGGGATCCTTTACTTCCATTTCCTTCATCTGTATGGTAAGATCGAAATCAGGAAAAGGGTTGCCAATTTTTGGTGCAAATCGGATGCCACTTTAAATTATAAGCTTTCCTGAGCGAGTTTTTAATGAAATTTTTTGTATACTTTGCATGGATGTTCTATTTTGGAGGGGACACTGTGGTTGTTTATGGCCAGGTAAGGTTCCTTTTGGATTACAGGGTACCACGACCTAACCTTTGAGTGGCAGCTTTTGAAGTAAGGTGATGATACCCAACATGCACCAAGGATATCTCAGAATGACTAAGACCTTTCCAATTGCTTTTGCCAAAAGAAAAGTTATGTATTTGTTGTCGCAGATATCTGCAAAAAGTCGACGAAGTAACTGGACAAGTTGCTAACTCACTCAAAGCAACTGAAAAAGTTGCCGGCTGTATAGATGTAGATCCGTGCTATATGCTGACCTAGATATCCTTTACGCTTCACATGCAAATTGCCTAAATTTCTTCTCAGTCTGCTTTCTGACTGTTTATTTTTCAGGAAGCAGTAAGAACTGAAAAGCGGCCGGCGATGCTGCCTTGCCCAAAAGGTTGCGAGAAATCAGCAGCAGCATGGCATCTGTGGAGTCTCGGAACGTGGATCTTCTCTGCTCTGCTGGCTGCTGTGATGATTGCCCTCACAATCAACAAGGACAGATTGGATCGACAGTATGCTACCGATGCAATCATCAAGCGAATTGCGCAGGAACGCGAAAGTGCTTCCAGTCCGAGTAGCCCGCTGTCGAGTGGACAGGTGTTCCTGAGGCATCGCGTCACTTCGAGACGTTGTGCCAGTTTTATCAAACAGCGCGCCTGTTTCGGCGAGAGCACCAATCCAGCCAGTAAACTT